GTTTGGAACATGTTTTTACTGTCTGACAGCTGCCTCTGCAGCCGTTCTCTTTCTGCAGGGATTCAATTACTCTCAGATCAGAAGCAAAAGGTCTATTAAACAACAGTTTGTTACAACGGGTTGTAGTTTTACTCTGCTGGGAATAAATTATTCAATTAATCCAGTCAGTGTGGTCAGTGATCCTTAACTTTTCTTCCTTCGCTCATCAGAGTTTTGTGTTTGTATTTTCAGATTTAGAAACATGGACAGATTCATCTCACCACTCAATGTGACCTCTAATGTGACTCAGCTTGCTTCCAACGCCACAGTGAAGCCATTCAATGTGTTTGATGGTTGTGAGCATTACGTAGAGGGCCTTCTCTTTGACCTCACGCTTCAGGTCATCAACGTGGTTGTGGGAATCCCTGCCAACTTACTTGTCATTGCTATTCTCTTCCACAATCGTAAAGAACCCTCCACTTCAGACATTTTCCTGGGCTGCTTGGCCTTCATGGATGCCTATTTTGGCACTATGACCCCCTTAAATTTTCTTAACCTTTACGTCTGGCAGAGTAAACCACTATGGTCTGCTGTTGCATTCTCCTATGGTGTGAAAGACACTAGCGGCCCATTGTTTCTCTCCTGTATCTGCCTGGATCGTTTTGTGGCCGTGCTTTTTCCCATCGCATTCGGGCAGCTGAAACACATCAAGTACAGGCTGAGCCTCACCGTGCTCGTCTTCTTCCTCACCTTCGCCTACTCTGCAGCCAAAATAGTGGGGGGCATTCCCAATTTTAAGAAGATTTTCACCTGTGAGATCCTGGCAACCTTTGCCTGGATGGTGGTGTGTAACGCAAGCATCCTCTGGGCCCTGAAGAAGACCAGTGCAGGGAGAGACGACATGCATCCCATGAAGAAGAAGGCCTTCAAGATGGTGCTATCCATCCTGTGTATCATCATATTCAACTACCTGCCACTGGTTGCYTTGTTCCCATTTCAGGACCATTTCTCCCGTGATGCGTTTCACTGCTACGTGCAGCCTGCCGCCTTCGCCTTCATGAATGTCAGCAGCACCATCCAGCCACTCGTCTACTTGTCTCGTTTGGAAAAGATTCCTTTCCTCCCAGAAGCCTGGGTGAAGAAGTTTTGTTCTTGCATCACTGCAGAGAGCAATGAATCTGCTTCTGCAAAAAACAGTTCTGCCTAGACGTACAGAAGACTAAACTAAGAGACACACTGTTTATTGTTAAGAGAAGCTAAAAAGCAATATTGGATTTCATGTTTGGGACTGTTTTGTTCATTTTCTTCAAAAAATGCAATTTGTATGTTTTTAATACACATTTATTTAATAAAATGCATCTGTTTGACCCTCATATATTTATGTTTTAATAAGTTTATCAGAAACTACATATATAGATTAATGACTTCATAAAATCTAATTATGTGCTTGAGTTTGGCGCCATCATGTGCACAAACCGTACATCTGTGTTACACCTGTTGTACTTACAGGTAATCTTCCTTTTTCAGTTCAATAAAAGTGCTCATTTATTAAAGACATCATCACAGATAAACAGACTGTAAAGTTTGCAAATTTCAGCTTTGGACAAATAAAAGCTTCTTTATGTTAATTTAAACAACTGTAATAGAAAAACTGCTTTCATACAGATAACAAATTTGGAACATTAAAAATCTAATATTTTATTTTTAGGCTTTCATAAATTAAATCTGTCACTATAATGTAGCATATTTATTTGTATTTCAGTGAAGTGATTTAAAAAAACTTTAATAAAACCTTTCAACATGTATTTTTAGAATACATGTTTTGTGTTTAATGTAACTTTATCATCCTAAAAAATCACAGGATTAAAACCTAACCTCAACCTTTTGATAAATAAAATCCCATAAAACACTCCGATACACAAATATTACTAAAAAGTGCTAATCGGCAAATATTTCAACAAAATATTTTACAAAATTCAAGCTCATTAAATTACAGCAACATTTACGGCCACCACTCACGTCTGTAGAGAAGCTGCAGTAAGATTTTGTAGGTGTTTTGTTGCAGTATTTTTCAWATTTAACAAACAAATGAAGTGAACGACTTCAGCAAAACATAAACAATTGCAAATCAAAAAAATCACAATTTCTTCAAATCTAATGTCACAAACAGTTGTGACAAGTTTGTTTCAGCAGCAAATTGATYAGGATGAGAAAATGAGACGTTCCTTATGAGAACTTTTTTTATAATCTGCTGAATCTGAAATCTACAAAAAAATTCTCTGTTTGATTAACAGAAGACTGTGTTTTTGTTTTGTTTAGATTTGTTGATTAGAATATTTTTTGACCATTTCACCTTCAAATTGAAAGCTTTTTAAAATATTTAGATTAGAATTTGAACATTTTAGCTTTTATGCGTATTTGGGGTTGTAGCTCACTGTAGTAATAATCAACTCCTGCTGACAGAAGCCAAAATTAGCAAAGCAGTAGCTGAAGGCAAAGACTTCAAAAGGCTATAAAGCTAGAACGTTTAGAACATATAGCTGAAAGCTAAGAATGGCAARGTTATAAAACTAAAACCTTTAAAACAGTAGCTGAAAGCTAAAACTAATAAAGTAATGGCTAAAAGCTAAAAACATCATACCTGTAGCTCAAATCTAAAACTAGAGACAGTAYCTGAAGTCTGAGACCAGCAAAACAGTTAAAAGCTAACACTACATAAACAGTAGCTAAAAGCCAAATTTATCAGAGCAGTGGCTAAAAAATTAATAGCAGCTGAACAGTAGCTGAAATATCAAAACTTCCAGCTAAAATCTAAAATTAGCAAAACACTAGATATAATTCAATTTTACCAAAACATTAGCTAAAGGCAAATGCCAGCAAAAATAGTAGCTGTGCTGAAGTWGCTGAAGTTTTTTGTAGCCGATTGCCTGAAAATATGTTAAAATATGAAGATGAAGATGTATGAAAAAACTATAAACTATGATTAAAAAGTATGAACAGAAAACACTATTACTAACTGGCTTTGAAAATGTAAAAAAAAACCTTGTTGTGATTTCTTTATTTTAGTATAAAAATTTGTAGGTATTTTTGGCCCAAAATATGTTGGAATTTGCTCTTTAAAGTTATTTGTGTCATGAGTTTTTGGAAATGGACACAAAAAAAACTGTAATAATAAATCATTGAAGCTGTTCCTGCTGCAGCCCAGTGGTCAGTATCTTCTCTGGCATTATCCTCAGTGGATGACTGCTCTGTGTATAAAAGTATGGCAACAGAGGCTCTGTGAATGTCTGTGTGAACACATAAATCAGTGAGTCGTCAGTGGGGTCCAAAAATGACACCAGTCCATTGTTGTAATCCAGCTGTACTTTGACCTGTTCTGGCACATGTGAAACTGTCAGCGGGGTGGGCGGCGTGGTCATTGCCCTGAACTCCCCGTCCCGGAAACATAAAGTCCAGAAACCGTTTTCGGGCCGGGCAGAGATCTCAGCGTTTCTTGACACGGACGAGGAGGCCACACCCAGGAGCCAGTCGTGATTACTTCCTGTTTCCACAACCCACTGGTGACATCCTGAGTGGAAAGCAGCCATCCCCACGGCCTCAGCACTCATGTGGAAGCGCTCTGGGGTGTCGGGGCAACCGCTGGGCTGCTTTGAGTAGTGGAGGGATGTCAGGTCATCAGATAGGACCAGGCAAGGGTGTGCTGTGTTTGGATCTACACTTACAGGTGCTAAAAGACAGGAAATGACCCAATGATTAACAAGGACGTGTAAATCAAGATGTGGTAATTCTTCTGTACTATGACTAGGTGRACTCACTGTAGTCAATCTTGTCCAGTAATTTCTCCCAGACTCTGTATTTGAGGTTAGCGAGGTGCTTCGCCACGTCAACCAGTAGTCCAGACATGTTATTTAAAGCAGGCATCATGTCTTTACTTCTGTAACATCGACACATATCTGAGTATCTACCCTGTAAATGCACCAAATCACTTTAAAAACAGGATTCTGATGGCCTACCTGTCCTGAGTGTCTTTAAAGTTCTGTAATAAAAGAAAACATAAAAGTTGGGTTCTGTTTAAATCTTAATAAAACTATTAAATGCAGATCAAAAAGAAAAAATAAGTAGGTCCTCTGGATGGGTTCAACTTTAGTGAAACGTTTCGTCTCTCTTCCAAGAGACTTCTTCAGTCTGATGAGTTTCAGGTGAACTCAGCCTTATAAGCACTGCCTCCACCTGTTAGTCACATGCAAAAGAGGGCCATCGCCTAACAATAGGCTTGATTAACTCTATTTAGTCACATGCAAAAGAGGGCCATCGCCTAACAATAGACCCCAAAGATCCAGTTCCCCAGCAAAAACAGAGTATATGCTGTTAAGTGTCAGGAGGACTGTGATCAGTTATGCATTGGGGAAACAAAACAGCCACTGTTCAAAAGAATGAGCCAGCACAGACGAGCTACATCATCAGGTCAGGACTCTGCAGTTTACACTCCTCTACAGGCCAGCGGTCACTCTTTCTGGGATGAAGATGTTCTCATCTTTGATAGAGAGGAACGCTGGTTTGAGAAAGGAGTAAAAGAAGCCATTTTTATGAAGAAAAACCATCCACCATTAAACAGAGGTGGAGGCCTTCATGTCCAGTTGTCCTCCTCCTACAACGCTGTTATTGCAAGTGTGACTCAGCCCCCTGTGAGCAAAAGGTGTGAATCAGGGCCCCAATGATACAAACACAAAGAGAGAAAGAGAGACAAAAACAAGGAGATGTCGAGCCCCGCCTGCACTCACTACATACAGATAACATGACACGGGTCAGGTGATGGGGCACATGACCCTCAATGAACCATAGAGCTAATCAAGCCTATTGTTAAGCGATGGCCCTCTTTTGCATATGACTAACCTGTTTGTCCATGTGGAGGCAGTGCTTATAAGGCTGAGTTTCACCTGAAACTCTTCAGACTGAAGAAGTCTCTTGGACGAGAGACGAAATGTTTCACTAAAGAAGAACCCATCCAGAGGATCTACTTATTTTTTCTTTTTGATTTTTTTCTACCTGGATTACTGAGATGCATCAGGACATATTAAATGCAGAAAAGCACAGACCTTCAGTAAAACTATGTTGTCTTCCACCAGCTGGCTCTGAATGACAGAGATGGTCTCGGTGACAGAAAGCTCCTCTTCTGAGAGTTTTTTGATCCTTTCCTTCATCGCCGCAATCTTCTCCTCTTCCTCTTTCTTCAAAGCCGCTAATCTGGCGGACTCTTCGTCGTAGAGGGCCTGATGTAGCTGCTGGAACTGGCTCCTCATCCTCTTCTGTGTTTCCAGTGTCTGATTCTGACATATCATCACAAACTGCYTTTTGTTGTGCACGCGTTTTAGATTTTTATCATTTAATCACAAATTACCTTGATGTATGCGAACATTTCAGCTGATGTCCCGTGAATTCTTTTGAGGCTTTTCAGTTTTTCTTGCAGGGTTTTCAGGGAAACTTCAAGTTCTTCCTGCAAGTCAACAGGTACAACAACTGAAGGAAAATGTTTGCAGCTTGATTTTTGGATGTTTCTGTTTTTCCCTGACAGCGTGACGAAGCTTCAGGACGAACTTGTGCGACTGCATTTTACTTTAGCTGTTGTTTTGCAACGATAACAGGGCGGATTTCACTTACCCTGCAGTCCAGCAGAGCCTCTTCCGTTGGCAAACATTCGTGGGTTTTGTGCAGCTTGGACGACTGGCACACCACACAGATGGGCTGTCTGTCGACCAAACAGAAGAGCTTCAGCTTCTCCCCGTGCAGGCTGCAGTTTGACCTGTCCTCTGAGTTTTGCCTCTTGACTTGCTGAAGGGCCTCGCAGACYTTTTTCAGAGCCAGGTTGGACGTTGGGCTGGACTTGGACCCCCTTTTCCTGCAGATGGGACACCCTCGTACCCCTGTGTCCCAGCACTGCTTCAGACAGACCCGGCAGAAGCTGTGGCTGCACGGCAGCAGCACCGGGTCTCTGAAGATGTCACAGCACACGGGACATMTCAGGTCCTCCTCCAGGAGGGACATGATCCACAGCTTGTGGTGTGTTACTGAGAAAATCCACGGCTCAGAAGAGGCTCCTCTGTAGGCTCATGGCTGCACTAACTGCTCTTCTATTGTTCTTGACGAGGAGTCACTAATGCTCTTGGCTTTCCTGTGTGTGACTTCTGTGGGTGTAACGTCAGTCGTGCAGCAGCATGAAAAACACCAACTGTTGTATAGCTGGGAAACAGGAAGTGGAGCCTCATTGGTTAGTTTCGAGGGAACTGAAAACCGGTTACTTGTTGCAAAGTTGGAATGTAATCTTTCAGGAAAGGAAGTTGTTGACAGATTTACCGGCAACAAAATGTTCAAACACATCATGTTTAACTTGTGAAATAAAGCTGAAAGTTTATAAGACATTCAACTTTCACTTTTATTCTCACACAGTCTCACTAAAAACAGTCCTCAAAACTAAACAGATTTATCCAGATGCATCTCAGTAATCCGGGTAGAAAAAATCAAAAAGAAAAAATAAGTAGGTCCTCTGGATGGGTTCTTCTTTAGGGGACAAGGGGACGTTGAGCCCCGCCTGCATTCACTACATTCACAACACCTAAGAACTACAGCATCCAAAGCAATAAGTCAGGTGATGSGGCACATGACCCTTCATGAACAATAGAGCTAATCAAGCCTATTGTTAGGCGATGGCCCTKTTTTGCATGTGACTAACCTGTTTGTCCATGTGGAGGCAGTGCTTATAAGGCTGAGTTCACCTGAAACTCATCTGACTGAATACGTCTCTTGGACGAGAGACAAAACTTTCCACTAAAGAACCCATCCAGAGGACCTACTTATTTTTCTTTTTGATAGCCAGATTTATATTTATATCCTTCTGAGAATCAAATATCAGGTTTTGAAGCTCTTAGGGTGATGAGAAGATAAAAAATGTTGCTTGATTTTGGCCCTTTTTGTCCCTTTTTTTAACATCTTCACACAGGCAGAATAAAATAAAATATGTCAGAAATACTTTGAAATGCTTTGACGACCCAGTTTGCTGGAAGCTTGTTAATCTGATCGAGCTGGATGCAGTCAGACAAAACAGACCAGACATTGCATGAAGTCAGGCAAATGTGTGTTATGTTACAATTTATCAAAAAAAAAACACATGTTGCTTTTAAGCTTGAGCCCTCAGGTTGTGCATTGTGTTTCCTGAGATTAACTGCCCTAGATTATTTTATACACACTTTTACTTTTGGTTGGTTGTCCCTCATAATATTAATCTCCAGTAAACAGAACCCAATATTAGTAAAATAGTATCTAAATGCTAAAACTAGCACAAAAGTATCTGTAACATTAAAACATTTAAAACACTGAAAAATCTAAAAACAACAAAACAGCTAAATGGTGGCTGAAAACCCCGAATTAGCAGTAGTAAGTAACAGTAACTAATGTTAACACTATCAGTAGCTGAAAGCTAAAACCTCAGATCAATGGCTGCAATTTCAAACCAGCAAAAGCAGCAGCAATAAAAGGCTCATGGTTTGACCTGTGAGTTACTTTGTCTGTAGCTACTTTTAGCAAAATATCTTATGGACAACTGGACAAACTTTAATGAAACTCTCAAAAAAARAATCACTGTACATCTTTCTAATTATTTAGTCAATTCCATTCAAGATGGTCACTGAAGCTAAACAACCAAAACACAAAAAATGGCTATGACTCCCTACAGTTTAGCAGATATTTAGTTCAGATTTTGTGTGGTAGTAGTCTTCCCCAACTATAACTTGAGGGCTAAGAGATTGTGCAACAAGATGGGTTTTAATGAAACTTGAAGAAAATAATCACCTGTTTCATTTTTGAACCAATCTAAATCAAGATGTCTGCCACAGCCAACTCACTTTGTAAAAAGACCAAAACGTGTATCTTACTCAGTCAGTTTTACAGATCATGTTAAGATAAAAATTTGATGCGAAAATAACAGAGAACCGTCCACAACACATCATCTGACGGTGAGATCTCGCGATTTTGTGCGAGATTCTCAAGGTTTGACCCAGCATGACATGATTTAACGCTGAGTTCGTGAGAAAAGTGATGTTCAGAGTGATGCGGCTCCTCGCATCCTATTCGCCTCCTCTCAGGTGCCTGCCTCTCTCCTCCGGTCTTTGGTTGCCATAGCGATGACGTCAAGTTGCGCCACCGTTTGCGGCCAGTAGACGGTCTRGGAGGCGGCGCAACAAAAACATCCTGAAGGATCGAGCGCAGGAGCTGTCATCCTCTGAATCCCTGCCGCTTCTGCTCATAAACTCGAGCTTGTCGTTCATCATCACTCCAAAATGCGCGAAATTGTGCATTTACAGGCCGGCCAGTGCGGAAACCAGATCGGAGCCAAGGTAGGCTGTGTTTTCCTCATCTATGCTTGTTTTTTTTTCCTCCCTCCTAGTTTTAATGTTGCGCTCTGGTTTGTGGATGCACGTCTCGCTAGAATAAGTCCTTTATCTGTCCTCGTGGAATTTTCTCGAAGAAAACCAACCCAGATGCTTAAAATGCTCTAAAAGTGGATTTCTCTGCAGAGCGTTCAAAAAAAGACCAAATACTTTGAACCCAAAAGAAATAAATTAGTTATTTTCATGCAAACTCATTTAGCAGTTTTTATACATTTTTTGCCGAGTGTTGCATGAAAATATCCTGTTTTTATTGATGATGAAAACCTTATTATCAGTGGAGGCACTTCCCCTCCCCCATCATCTGTGACCTATTTTCACATTTCAGCCTCTTGGAAGTATTTCCATTTCAACATACTTTTGCTTTTACTTCCATTTTTTTTTTTACTTTTTATTTTAAAAATATTAAATCGGAGTCAAGCAGTTCTATCATTACATGAGCTAAAAACTGTTTCTAATCAGATTATTTGCCTGATTTACTCCTGAGAGAACATTTCAGAGTAATGGGCTCCTTTGACCTGTTTTCCAAATTAACCCTCTGGCTTCTTCTGAAAGTAGCTCCCTTGGCTGTTTATGACTATATGGTTGTAAAAACAGAACACAAGTTCTGTTTGTTTTTCAACCTTAGACTGGACACCCTTGTCTCCCTCCTCTCACCACACCTGTTTGTTTAATTCTCTCAGTTCTGGGAGGTGATCAGCGACGAACACGGCATTGATCCCACCGGTACCTACCATGGAGACAGCGATCTGCAGCTAGACAGGATCAGCGTCTACTACAACGAGGCCACAGGTGAGGCTGCAAATTCAAATCCCATGTAAAATAGTTCACCTGCTTCTACTTCTCTGTAATAATCCGTGTTGTCTGCTTTCAGGTGGAAAGTATGTCCCCCGTGCCATCCTGGTGGATCTGGAGCCCGGGACCATGGATTCAGTCAGATCCGGGCCCTTTGGGCAAATATTCAGGCCTGACAACTTTGTCTTTGGTACGTTGTGTTTAAGTCAAAAGTTTTATCCTGTTTTTAAAGCCTGCCACTATGAACTGAAATGTTCGTGACTYCAGGTCAGAGCGGAGCTGGAAACAACTGGGCCAAAGGCCACTACACKGAGGGAGCGGAGCTGGTGGATTCGGTCTTGGACGTTGTGAGGAAAGAGGCTGAGAGCTGCGATTGCCTCCAGGGCTTCCAGCTCACTCACTCCCTGGGCGGAGGCACCGGCTCTGGGATGGGCACGCTGCTGATCAGCAAGATCCGCGAGGAGTACCCCGACCGCATCATGAACACCTTCAGCGTGGTGCCTTCTCCCAAAGTGTCTGATACCGTGGTGGAGCCCTACAACGCCACCCTCTCGGTCCACCAGCTGGTCGAAAACACCGACGAGACCTACTGCATTGACAATGAAGCTCTTTACGACATCTGCTTCCGCACACTGAAGCTCACCACGCCCACCTACGGAGATCTCAACCACTTGGTGTCCGCCACCATGAGCGGGGTGACCACCTGCCTGCGCTTCCCTGGCCAGCTCAACGCCGATCTCCGTAAACTGGCGGTTAACATGGTGCCCTTCCCCCGCCTGCACTTCTTCATGCCGGGGTTCGCCCCGCTCACCAGCAGGGGCAGCCAGCAGTACCGTTCGCTGTCCGTGCCCGAGCTCACTCAGCAGATGTTTGACGCCAAAAACATGATGGCCGCCTGCGACCCGCGACACGGCCGCTACCTCACCGTGGCCGCCGTCTTCAGGGGCCGCATGTCCATGAAGGAGGTGGACGAGCAGATGCTGAACGTGCAGAACAAYAACAGCAGCTACTTCGTCGAGTGGATCCCCAACAACGTGAAGACCGCCGTCTGCGACATCCCGCCCCGGGGCCTGAAAATGGCCGCCACCTTCATRGGCAACAGCACYGCCATCCAGGAGCTGTTCAAGCGCATCTCCGAGCAGTTCACCGCCATGTTCCGCCGGAAGGCCTTCCTCCACTGGTACACGGGCGAGGGGATGGACGAGATGGAGTTCACCGAGGCGGAGAGCAACATGAACGACCTGGTGTCCGAGTATCAGCAGTACCAGGACGCCACCGCCGAGGAGGGCGAGTTCGAGGAAGAGGGGGAGGAGGAAGGGGCGTAAAAAAAAAAAACCAACCGTGCAAAGAGCTGCCATACCTCATTTCACCACACCCATTCCCCACGGAAAGGTCCGCCGCACTGAAGAGCCGTCACTATCCAGATCACTGCTCTAGAGTTAGACGTCGATGTTTGCTGGGTCTAGTGACGTTTTGGGTTCAAGTGTTTCCGAGATCCCTACATCTACCCTTTCATTGCCTTGCTGTGTGAGAAAGCAAGTCATTTTAACTGTGAAGCCTGGGAAATGGAGAATGAATAAATTCACATTGAAAGGCCTGATGCACTCTCTGAGTTTTTGTTCATTTGTGACCTCACCCTTCTATAGACGCTTTATTATGTTATTTCCATTTCCAACACAAATTAAATCTCCTCACTATTTTATAAATCAGTAAAAGGTTAAAAATCAACAAAGGCTATTTTTTGAGGGCACTACCAGGTGTATTTCCTATTTATTTAGGAATCTATTTAARGTGTAAGTTAAACATAAGGACGGCATAGTGTGCTAAATTCAAATTTATTCTAACAAATTGTGTCAAAAAGGTAGGAATTTACAATGTAACCATTAAATTTCAATGAAAAGTTTCAAATTACGTTTTATAGCATATTTAGTTAATGTTGCAGCTTTTATCTCTGAAATCTGATCAGGTTCCATAAAATTACAAAAAGTCCCATTTCCCTGGGGACCTTACAGATTATTCGACAAAAAACATAAAAAACCTAAAGCCAACCGTTCAGTTCATTTTTTATTTCAGCCGAGAAGACAAACAGGATTAGAATCACTTGTCAGTACCTGTCGTTTGTCAAACTTAATTATCCGTCTGTCTCACGAATCCAGTCTGGGACAAAATAAGTTAAATATCTGTCAGGTCTGGTCTGTGTCAGCACCTATTATAGATCAGACAAACAGAACAAGTTTGTCCAACAACTTTATCCGTCACCTGAGGACTGATGAGACTCAGCTGCAGAAATGTTTTACTATTCATTAGATAAAAGCATAAATATACACAATGTGACAACGTTTCTGGTTGATTATAAAGAAGTCTGCGTGATGAAATGCTTAAACAACGCGACTTTAAATCAGGATTGTTCCAAGAATACTTCAAAGTGTAAACATCTGATTGATTTGAGTGGTCTCAACATAAAAGTACATTTTAAATCACATGGTGGGTTCCTTGGTGATTCATGCTTAAAATGCGTTTATATAAACAAGGTAAAATAAATAAAGAAAACCCTTTTTGTCCATTGAATAGAATTTGGACTGAAATGCTAAGAAGTGTGAGATAAAAGTTCAGTGAGACGGGGAACTGTACAATATAAACTATAACGGAGGAAACATCRCTAAACTAAAATGCTTGGTGGTTATACTGCAGCTCCACTGTGCACAGCTAACATTCAGGCATGTTCGAAATGTTCTCAGATTCCACTAGAAGATCCATCCAGGCCTTCATCAGCGGACCGTGCAGAAACAACTCAGTGCTTGCTAAGTACCTCCAAATGTCGTGGACATTCAGCACTTTTCCTTCGAGAGCTACGTGTTTTTGTCCCGTGTCCTTATGGGGTTCAACAATTGGTCTCAGATGAGCCTTTCCTCCTTCGGGAGCTTTAAAGCGTCCGGTGCGGCCACGCTGCGAGTGCCGGACTGCTCCTCGGCGCTGGGTCTGTAGGTCCCTTCGGTCTGACGTTTCTTTTTCACCACACAAAACAGCCAGCCGAGGACAGCCAGCGCTATGGCCAGAACGCCCAGGGTGACTGTGGGGGCCACGATAGCTGCGACGTTCGGCCCCTGAAAGAAGAGAAAATCGTCTCGTTTTCACTGAATCACATGTAACACTAGTAAATTCCACTTTGTACTCACCGTAGTGTTATTAGAATCTTGCCTATTTGTTATCATAGTGTAATTTCCTGAAAAACACAAAACAAACACATTGAATAAAGTAGGTAGAATAACTAAACTTCATAAAGCTTTTTTCWCTGCTTTCATCTGTGTGAGCTTCCAGTTAGCAGCTAAGCTCTTCAAAACTGCTAATGAATAGTTAATAACGCTTTTTCTAGTTTTCTAACTGAATATTTTAGACATTTTTTTAAATAGTAAATTAGTTTTAGCCTATATAATTGTGATGAACATTGTGATTCTGACATTAACTAAATGAGATGCAAAAGGATATTGCTGTTTTTAAGTACAGAAGTCTTTGCCCACAAGGTAAACACATTCAACCAATGAAGGCAAAGCAGGGATAAAGGTTTGTGCCTGTTTGTGTCACTCCCATTCAAGATGGCCACCAAAGCAATCTGTCTACACTCAAAAAAAAAAAAGGGCAAGAAAAGGAGAATGAATCTGCAGCACAGCAAAAGTTACTTTTTAACCAAGCAACAGATACTCCTCTAGTCAAGAGCCGGTTCTCAGTGTCTGATCCGTGTCCAGTGATCGTTCTGTGACCTCACAGACCTAAACTGTAACTTCTTCACCAGCAGAGCAAAAACAAATTAAACAGAATAAAATAAACAACTCAGGCACACAGAGGGAAACACTAAAATCTGAGCATTAGCAGGAAAAAAAAACCTCAAATGTGCACGTTTTGTTTGTGCTCGGTGTCTGCAGAGTGAAGAGAACGTTTTGTTTTGAAAACTGAAACCTGCCCCCATGCCTTCCTCTGAGTCAATCATTCACTCAGGCAAATGGTGAGATTTTCAAGGACAAAAGTACAACATGATAAGAAAGAGTTAGTTAGGGGTTAGAGAGAGGCCAGATGTGGTCACAGACTCATGTAGAGTTTTAATTTGATTAATCCTCTCAATCTAACGTTCTCGCAAAAAAAAAACAAAAAAAAAAAACTAACAAGCCCACGCACGTTATCAGACTGTTTCTGCTGCGTCTCTACATTTCTTTATGTGTTATTGTGAGATTGAATGGTGTGATTCTGAGTGTGTGTGTGTGTGTGTGTAGGTGTGGTTGGAAGGGTGGCTCATTTGTATGGGAGTGTTTAAGAATGGCTGCTAACTCACCCCACACAGGATTACTGCTCAGAACCAGGAATAAAACACTCCCGACCACAACTCCCGGTTTGGCCGGCACACCGGACCACCTCTCCACCTGCGGCCCGCGGGGCCAGCTGAGGGCAGACTGGGCCATGTCAGCATCAGCTCGGGTCCATGCTACTGGGTCACTGAGAGGATTTGTCGCCCCTTTAGAACAGATGAAAACATCATTATTATTATTATTATTATTATTGTGTGAATGCTGAGTCAGCAGTCACACTATTGTTTCCTTGTTTCGTTTTTTTTATCTGTGGTTTTTGAAAATGAACTACATCTGCATTCTTTGAGCTATTTTTAAACATTCATAAACAAAAACATACGGCTACATTGGAAAACTCTGACTTTTTTTGTTACTTTACTTTGATTAACTTTATATACAAAATGTTCCTCATAAAAATACATTGAGATTTCACTGATGAATTGTTTTCTGATGTGTCTTTGTGTGATAACTGTGGCTTTTAAATGGTTTTTGCTCGTTTTATATTTTAGCTGCCTGCAGGTTTGCTTAGTTTAGTTTTTTTTTTTTTTTTGCTTTCTTTGTTTCTAGATATTTTTTTCAGCTTTTAACTGCTGTTTTTTCTGATTTTAGTTGCTGTTTGTTGATTTTAGCATTAGGCTATGGCTTAGTTGATGTTAGCTTGTAGCTTAGCTTAGCAGTTTTTAGCTCTTAGCTACAATTAAGCTACTTTTTAGTTTTTAATTACTGTTTAGCTCATTAAAGGTTTTGGTTATTTAGGATTTTTACTGCTGTTTTGTTTGTTTTTTAGCATCAATTTAGCTGATTTTAATTTTCAACAACATGCTAGTTGTTGTGAGTTTTTGGATATTATTTTAATTAAAGCTTGTAGCTACATTGTTGCTGATTTTAGCTTCTAGCTATGATTTTGCTCTATTTTAGATTTCAGTTTAGTATTTTAAATTTAATTTGTTTTTGAACTAGAGTTTTTCAGATTTTAGTTAAAGGTTAGCTGATCTGAGTTTTAAACTAGTTTTGGCTACTTTTAAAATTGTAGCTACCATTTTGATTTTTGGTCTTTTCTGCTTGTTTTTAACTTGATACAGTTTCAGCTTCAGCAGTCATTGTTCACACTGCATGTTTAAAGACAATACTATTGTTCTGGTTATTATCATGTTGTTATTATAATTATTATTATAATAAACAACAGGAAATTGCCTTTAAGTTCCTGTGGCTCTGAGTCACATCAGCCTGATGTTGAATCATGAAACCTGCTCAGAAATAAGAAGCTATTTTTAGCACACATGTTGAAAACAATGAATGTATTCAGAATTAAACACTAATGTTGTTTTAGAAGTCATTATAGAACAAAAACAAGTCAATATTTTTTACACACCTTGATCCTGATAGTCGACGCGAACCGGAAAACATCGAACAGGTAGAAAACCTTCCGCCTCAGCATTAAAAGAACTAAACTCCACTAAACTCAAACAGGTAAGTGAGAAAAAAAAAAAGCTTGTGAAACTCTCAGCAAGTTGTCTTGAAGAGCAGAACTACATCCTTGGCGCTCTCTATCATCTCATGGAAACCAGTTTCTGTCCCCCTTCGCTGCTTCGGCTCCTGGTTGGTCACGTGGTTCAGTTTCGTGTTACAGCCTACCTGAGCGCAGTGATCCACCTGCAGCACGAGACAGATCCTCCTTTGTGCAAGGTGGATGCAAAGAGCGGCTTCCTCGTGCAGAACAGAACCCTCTCGTGGCTAAAATAATCTCTAAAACACGGACTGGTTATTCCCTGATAAAGTTTACTCACTTAATCCGGAGTGAACTCGGTGTGAGTTTGTCAGGAGGTGGAGGAGGTGGAGGAGGTTGGGGGGCAAACAGCGCCTCCAACAGGTTTCAGGACTTCCCATCAACATTCCTAAAATATTTTGAGGATGAATTTCGGAGGCCAGCTGGTCCAGTGGACTCTAATCCTCCCTTTAATCCCCCGCTTCTCAGACTCAGAAGTGGTCTGCTTCAGGTCTAATCTGGCCRGAGTTTCATGTGTTGCTTTAATGAGGCTGTGTCTTTACAAGATTTAAGAATAATTCYCAGGATGTTAACTGCAGTGCACACAAAGATGTCCAGCTAAGAGTAAKACTCCAAGTGAAAAGGTAACTTTGGCTAAATGAACATTACAGACATTAGGAAGCTATATCAAAGGGCTAAACTAAATATTAAGATAGAAACTTGAAACAAAACGTTTTTGCATGATGCAGAGTGCTGGAAGACTTTTCTGAAATTTGTTGAATTAAACTTATTAAAGGGAAAACAAGCAGAACAGTAGGCCTACCTAACACTGGCAAAACAGCTAAAAGCAATGAGCAAAACAGTTAAACTTTTTTTTAAATCTAACAAAACTTTAGCAAAAAAAAACAAAAACTAAAATTAGCAAAACCATAAAACATTACTATCAAAATAGTCGTCAAAAGTTAAAGTTAAATAAATAAAAGGAAAAAATTAATTTAACAAAAAGCTAAAAGTCTGAAACCAACCTGAAGAAATTAAAAGACAAAATAAGCAAAAAAATATCACAAAAAGCTAAAATTACAAAACCTGTTGCTACAAGCTTAAATTAGTTAAATTAAAGATCAAAACTGGTATTATCAAAACAGCTGAGAGCTAAATCTTACAAATCCAAAGCAAAATTGTAGAATGAAGCTAAAATGAGCAAATGTATAAAATAAGAAATAAAATATTTTGTTGACTGCAAAACAAATCTGTTGTCAAGATTGAGAAAAATTTTACTCCATAGTCAGAAAACAAATGATATATTTCCCAAGTCATCTTTCAGTAACTCAATGTGTTCCATTTTATTATTAAAGTTTAACTTTTCCAATGCAAAAGGACTGTGATGGGGAGGAAATTAAAATTATTACAAATGAGGACAAATCCTATATAAGAAAAATAAATAAATTTCGGACAGTTGTGATTGAATAAAAATGTAATTTATCTTGAAATTGTTTTAAATATTGAAGCAGTAAGTGATCGAACGTGTTGTGTGTATTTTCGCCACTAGGGGTCAGCAGAGGCTCTTGGTTGTTGTTTTTGTTATGCAGCAGTTGAGCTTCGCGTACTTACAYCTTGCCGTAGTCGCAGTGAAACCTGGGTAGGACAGTTAAAGCGGCGGGAGAGCGGCAATTTATTGCCAATTTGCTCAAATTAAATTATACATAGAGACTTGGACGCATTGAGAAGTGTAATTTTAGTTGTGTGAAAAGGGCACAGGTTGGTTTAAACTACAAGTGAGTGTCTAAACAGACTTGTTGTCCTTGTGTTGCGTAAAAAGCACTCCTCGGTAAATTGCGTTTGTTTTTGACTAGCCGTCTCGTTCCTAGCGTTTCGACAACAATGGCGAAAGTGCAGGTGTTGAATGTGGCCGTTCTRGACAACCCGAGTCCCTTTGGAAACCCCTTTCAGTTCGAGATAACATTTGAATGTATGGAGGACCTCCCTGAAGGTAAACGCCGTAGTTTGACAAAATAGCTTGTCTGAGGCTAAAACGAGCATGTGTTTCWTACAGTTGTAGACCTGACAGTTACGTCGCGGCGGTACGCAAAATATTCAACACAGCTTGTTTGAAAACAAAGCTTCAGGTTATTTAAATAAATCAAATTATATTGTTTTATTCTGTCTGATGTCAGATATATCAGTATCACACGCATGACATAAGTCAAAGTAATAATGTGCATTGTTTTATCTCAAAGTGCTTCCAACTCCTGTTGTTTTGACCTCTTTACAGCAAAGTACAGAAGTTTTAAAACACATATTTTAATTATACTCTACCTGCTAGAAGCCAGACCTTCTTGTACATTTTTTTAGTTGTGTTTGGCTTTCTGAAGGTCTTGTAAAGTTTTTTTGGGGTCTGGGTACCTGAGCATTTTTAGTGGAGTGGTATTAAAGCCATTTAATTTTAACCTCTTTCCCTCCTAAATTCTAAGGTTGAACCACAAATGAGCTGAGCTACTCTTAGACTGTGCAAATAAGCTAAAATAATGGAAAAAAGATCTAGAAAATATTGTTTTAAAAGTAGAAATCTGTGTACATAAAAGGTATGAGTACTAATACTACTAAAACACTGCTTATTTTTCGGTGATGTAGTTCTTTAGAATAAATGATGGTAAAAAACTTACTTTGTGCTTTTTTTGTTTATAGACCTTGAATGGAAGATCATCTATGTAGGCTCAGCAGAAAGTGAGGAGTACGATCAAATCCTGGACTCGGTTTTAGTTGGCCCAGTTCCTGCTGGAAGACACATGTTTGTGTTTCAGGTGAGTTTGAACATATTTTTTGTAACTTAGAAGGTTGTTGTTTAAACAAGCCTACACATTCACAGCTATGTGACAATCAACGATTAGCACAAATCCATAAAATTGGTTTCAAATTGTATTTTTTGACAGGCTGACGCCCCAAACACCGGACTGATCCCTGAAAGTGATGCTGTTGGTGTGACTGTAGTGCTGATTACTTGCACGTATCGTGGCCAAGAATTTATTCGTATTGGTTACTACGTGAACAACGAGTATACAGAGCCAGAGCTTCGTGAAAATCCTCCAATCAAACCAGACTACTCACAGGTTAGTTAACATTACTTCAACAAAGCTGCAAAATAATTGTTCTGAAACAAAACTATGAATAATACATCTCTTGAATTCAGGACTTGGAAGTATCCACTGAATAATACTGATTGTTATAAGTAAGAAAAATAATTACACCCCTCAGCAAGAACTAAAAAAAAATGAATGCCTTTCCTTTTGTTGCATTACGTTTTTGCCATTCTGCAAGCAGCATTGCTTGTTCAAAGAGTAGTTTCAGTAGAAGGCGGCCGTGAGTTTTCCTGTAATGAGAAAGGATTTTGATTGTAGGTGTCACATTTTTTAGGGGTCTGACATTTGGAATGAAATTTTTTGCTCACAGGTGCKAAAAAAAAAAAAAAAACGTCAACAGTTTTTAAAATGATATGCACAAAAAGGTTTTAGCCTGACTACCTGATGGGTTAACTCGCCTCTTCTCACCGTTTTGCGTTTCAGCTTCAAAGAAATATTTTGGCATCAAACCCACGTGTCACCAGATTCCATATAAACTGGGAAGGCTGTGCAGAAAGAATGGAAGACTCTGAAAACGTGGATCCGACTTCAAACTCCAAACACCCACCGTCTTGTCTGCCAGGCAAGGCTCCACCTTTGGGCATCCTACCAGACAACTCTATGGACTGCTTATAGAGATYCCTCTTGTTGCCCGAAAGGTGATGAACCACAGGACAAGACCTTATTTTTAAAGAATGCCTATGGACATTCAAGAGTGGTGAAATGATGTACAGACCTGCAAGCCTTATGACTTTATTTTCCTAAAACATCCCAAAAAGGAACTTTCACCTTGGGCTTCATTTGTTCCAATGATGGGATGATTCTTAWTTATAGATGAGTAGTCATTGTGATAATACCGAAAGCAATACTGAAGTGTGAAGAAACAATTAAAAAAAACTGCAGTTATCAAACGATGCAGCTGAACTAAAATATATTGAAATACAGTTATGCCTTTCTCTTTTTTTCTATTATTTTGCAGAGCAAATTATAATATTTCAGTACTGAAGCAATAGGCAGTCTATTAAAAATATTAATGTAAATTTATTTGATAATCTGACTTTTTTTTGTTGAAATTGCACCTTTTTATCTTGCTTTTTAAACTCTGAATAGGTTTTGTATGGAAAATATTATTTCCTTCGTTTTTTTTCCTGTTTTCAGTTTTGTGTTCCAAATAAAAAACAAGTATTGTATTCGATACTTAACTTAGCATGATTGTGTTCCTGTTACATATTGTAAACAAAGGCTTTTTTGTACTCCAATAGGTGTGTAGCTCATATGTAACTGATTTTATTTATTTATTTTTTATTTTTACTACAGAGCAATCTGTAAAAACTCAGAATCCTTACATGTTTTTGCATTTWACTAAAAATAGCTCATGTCAACGTCACACCCAATCACACATTTGTCGATTTAGAAAGATTAGTTGGCTTTACAAAGAAAACAGAAAATAACGATTTCAAAGTTATTGATTTTCATGAAATTGGGTATTCTAATTTAAACTCATTGTTTAAGGTTTTAAAGAAAACAAATACCCGTTAGTTATGAGGTTATTTGTAAGTCCGGAAGGCGGGGTAAAGACATTCAATAGGCGAATCGCATCAATGCATTCATTTGATGTGTTGATGTTCAACCAATCAGGGCTTTATGTGCGGCATCTGACATGTAAGTAGTTGTCTGGATAGCCAATGAGAAGGGGGAGGAGGCGGGACTTGGTGGATGGATGAGTGGAGTTTTCCTTGCGGTCTGAAGATTAATGGAAGGGGTCTGTTGATCTGAAGAATCGACTGTCAGATGGTCGGACCAGGGAATCCATTGACCCGTACGGATGATTTAGGAACGAATGGAGATATATCAATTTAAGTAACTGGCTGAGAAAAAAAAACGAGTTCCCCGGATAGAAATTTGGTATCCAGGTCTTAACTGCCAAGGCCTGTCCTTACAGAGATACTAGCACCTGGTTGGTTCAGGCCAGGATTCAACTGCAAGGGGCGCTGGAAGCTAATGTTAGCTTGCTAGGTTAAAAAAAATACGGAAACGTCTTAGTTTCGACGATTTGCATTCCAACTGGATTTCGGAAACATCACATCACATCTGGAATAAGCAAAAGGTTGTGTGTCACTTGGATTTTCTGGTGCTCATTTTGGATTTCTCTCCCGCTATTGTTAGCAAACTGGTATCCGTAGATCACCCAGCAGCTAATCTAAATGTGCTAGCTCGGGCTAACTCTAACCGTCAGCTCCAGCTGCGGACTTGGATACACTCAGTTGGACTTTTCTGAAGTCACAGCTTAAACGTAGCTTAGCAGGAGCTAATAAATACACTGGTTTGTCAGTAATGATAGCTGTTAGCTAGTAACTAAGTGTCAACTTCATAGTTCAAAGGCTTTCTTTAACGGTTCAGCATCACAGTGAACGACTTTGAAGGAAAAGTCACCCGGAGCCGAGGAACTCGACCGTCCGCCTGCCATCATGGGCAACACGCCCACCGCGAAGAAGGGCAATGAGATGGAAAGTGGTGAGTACCCTCCACCCGTGTTTACACCTGAGCTCCGTAATGCCCCTTGCTTGGTGTTTAGCTGTAGTCATTTCCTGTAGTCCCTTCCCATTTCCATGGCAGCAAAGTTACAACTTAAAACACAGTTTCAACACTTTACTGATTTATCTCAACTTATATACACTGCAAACCTCAAGTTCAAAGGTCTTCATTTCTTTTTAATGTTTTTTCTTGACAAACCATGCATTTCCTTGATTTGATTTATTTATTTAGCATGAAAAGATTATTAAAAATCAAGCCTGACTCAGCATAATTGCTGTTCTGCAGAACATAAAACACTCAGAATTACAGCATCACAATCACATCATCATACACCATAGACATAAAGACAAACAAGCATACCAATGCGACATAGTTCATTCATGTGAAATAGTTAGACTCCGGTCCTGACCGGACACCATCACATCTCTCATTATGTGGGAAAGCTCGTGATTCAAAGCCCCCAGGGTTATATTCAGAGGTAGCAGTTGGCATGACAACAATCAAAGGATTTTCTTGTGGTTTATGTTTATCAGATGTTTTCTTCTGCTTTTAAAAGCTTATTGAATGATCAGTAATATTACTAACCCCTTGAGGAGACCAGTTCTCTGTGTTTTTTAGTTTTGTATTACCATTATCCCAGTATCGAACAGTCTGTATGCTATGATCAGTGTTATCATTTTAAGAAATGTTTGGTTTTCTTTATAATTTGGATCCGAATGCAGAGTTTGACAGAAAACATTAGTTGATTTGTTATCCACCAGGATGGGGGTCATATGATGCACGAGGATCTTCTCCAGGCTGAAAATTTGGCGTTTCAGTCTCTTGAACAACATGTGATGAACTTATTGTCGAACAAGAGCTCTTGTGTGTTTGTCGTGTCTGATTGTTGTACACACAGTTTGTCTCAACTGTTTCTTGAACTTCAACTCTGTGTGGTCATGGATGTTTTCTATAAGATATACCTAACACATTATTACAAAAACTGACATATTTTTTCTGTTTTTCACATAAGTTTTTAACAAATAAGTTTAAATATGTTGTTGTGAAAAATGCTTATTTGTTTTCTAACCATGGGAAACGCTTGCAAGCGCACAGTTTTATGTCTTTACTTTTAACATCATAAATAACGCCCAAGTGTGCAAAGTTTGGACTTGGATCTGCAAAATGAACATCAGCTCCTTGTTACTAGCAGAGAGTAGGTGTGAAGAATGGAATCCAGTGTATGTAGCGTTAACCCGTCACTGATAAATAGGTGGCTTAAAGGCGGCTAAAGTTATTGCTTTTGAAGAAACTAAAACAGTGAAATAAAACAGAAAGATCGGGAACACTGCTTTTAGAGTTGTCACTGCTTTTTAGATGTGTTCATGTGACACGCTCCACGTTCTTATCAGGCCGATCGTTGTCGGCCCACCCTGATCTCCAGAGACAGGTGCAGGCTAGAGTTGTGCAGGCCAGGGTTTCGGAGTCTACACCCACCCAGGGGCGTTGTTTTCCATAAAGCAAATTGAGAGCATGGCAGCCTCTTTTTGGTTTCTATGAAAAAAAAAATAGAAATAGTGTGTTGAAAGCTGTTTTCAGGTGCACAGCCTCTGCTGCCAAAGGACTTTGCAGACTGGAGCATCCGAGTAGGGAGCTGCTGCARGGGCATAAAGGGCTCATTTCTGGCCCACAGGAAGAATCGGGGCGGACAGATTTTTGGGAACTGCAGCAGGAAGTGAAGGAGCGAGGAAAAGTCCAGCCCCGGCTCTGCTCAGTCGGCCATCTCCTCTCCTGTTCTATAGACTAAACACGGCCTAGCAGGAAAGCTGGAAGTTTGGGACTTTAACACGCCGTTGATGTAGAATTTTGTGGAACTCAAAGGGTAAACGGTCTGGATGCCCTGCAGGGTTGAAAGCTACAAAACTCTTTTGTAGCCGGCTTCCTGCGTTCTCGTATGATGTCCGTTATTCACAAGCTGGCAGGAAGGTTTTTTCACCGAGCTGGACCTCGAGATATGAGCAGTGCAGAGGGGTCGCACCAACAACCACAGGAGGAGCTAGAGGCTTACAGCTCGAGTAAGTTTTCTTTTTGGAGCTGGACAGAAACATGAGGGTGGGGCTGTAGTTTCGGCTCTGTCCCACTATCGCAGCCAGTCACTACTACTGCAAAGTTTTGAGAATTAAACAAAATGTTTGTTTTTTATGATTATGTCATGAACTTAGGAGTTGGGTGTTTAATTGCTTTGAGTAATCTTTCTGTCTGGTTGTACTAGCTTATTATTCACGACATGTTTGTACCTGTGTATGCATGAAAAAAACAAGGATTTTTAATTAGAAGATTATTGTTTGACTGCTCATTTAGCTCTGCATTCACAGTGTCCAAACTGGGCAGGACTACAACCTGTTATGTCATGCATTGACTCGTGTGTTAAACTTGACCACACAGTGAGGTGGCACTCTGTCAAAGTACAKCTCTCATTGTTGCTATAAATATTCCTATCCTTCCCCCTGCTCTGCACACAGCAACCAGGTTTGTGTTTAGGTCAGTCATCACTTCCTGTCTGCTGAAAGGGCCTTTGTTATAAGCCTGCACTGATTATCAGCAGACCGTGCTGCTTATATGCCAATCATCTGCTTTCAGACAGCTCACACAGCTAAAATGGCAACTTTAAAATGTCGCCAGTAAATAGTTCTGAAAACCAGGAATATACGTACAGACCAAACAAATCACTGCATTTTCTTCAAAAACCACTAATTTACTTTGAGGTGTGTAAAATTCACCAAARCTTTGGTTACAAGTTTCAAGTCAGTTTTTGGGGCTGCTTTATATGAGAACCACTAACACTAGTATCTTGCTGAGCTGCAACTATAGTTGGTGACTCAGAATGAGAAAATAAGCAATTTTTTGGTTGCAGTCTCATTAAAGTGTTTGCTGCCTATAAGCCATGTGACTGGGTTTTAACGGCCTGCTTTTGAAAATCAGGGCCTAGTTTTACGTTTACAGCTAGTAGTATTGTAAGCAGCACATTTGTTTCTCTACCCATCATATACCACCTTGGCAGCCAAGCTGACGTTTATGATTTATTCCAGTGGAGAATAGATTTAAAATGAAAACCTGCAGATTGGGCCCAGTTTTTCTATAAWTGTTTTTCTTCAGCTTGGGTTTTAGACCCGAGGCCTATTGCACGAATAAAGTAAACCTGAATTAATTAAGCCTTGAATTGGTCGCATGGGTGTGGGAAGCACTTGTGTTTCCATGATAACAAGTGCTCTGAAACTAACCTGGTCCCGACCAGGTTTAAAGTGAAGCTTATTTAATCTTCTGAGCAGTAGAGTCAGTTTACTGCAGAAACTGTTCCTCTAACCAAGTTTTACAGTCTGATATCAGCTAAAAAGTATTTTTGATCTTGTTTTTAGACCCATATACTAAACAAGATCAGAATATGTTGGATTATTAATCTTTTTAACTTAAAGTTTTTTTTACTTCAATAAGTCTCACCAAGTGTAACTGTCYAACTGCAGATTATTAGTCATTATTAATTAGAAAGAAAATAAGGGTCCAATCTAGTTTTTTAAACTTATTTTTTGAAGCCTAATTTTTGCAGTGTCTGATCAGAAATCAGTTCTTCATACACTTATTCTTTTTCTTTGCATTAAAATATTAAATACATTTATTTTATTTATTTATCATATTATCCATGAAAAAGAATAATAAAAAAGACAGAACCTGATCTTTACCTTTAACATAATCTATAAAATAATTTGTGCCTGCTGCAAGCCACCACCACCACAGTACCTTTTCGCCCCCGTCTCCCACCAACACACCCGCACTGGAGCCCCCCCCCCTCACTTTTCCTACAGTGATCATTTTAAGTGAGCGATCAGCTGTTCATTTTAATTTTGTTCATTTTGTTAAGTTCAGATAACTTACAGACAGATTCAGTGGCACAAAAAGTTTTTACTTTTGAAATTATTTCAGCCTCAGTCGGTGTTTCCTCTTCATCTCTTCACTCTTTATATGAATCATAATTAACCATTAAACTGCTGGAAGAAGTGAGCCTCACGTGTCTTACTGCGCCTGCCTGATCAGGAAATCTGTGATCCACCTGATGGGTCTAGTAAACAAACCGTGAACGTGCATTTATCCTAAACCATTTACAGCTGGCTTGAATGAGTGTGGCTCGGTGTTAGAGCAACAGATTACAGCTGTTGACAAGTTGAAGGTTTGTTCAAGCTCAGCTTACAGCTCATATTCTGAATTTAGAAATCTGACTTTTGTGAAATGAGCCTCTGGACAATCAGGCTTTTGTTGCCTTGGATGTTTTTTGCTCATCTACAGGTGACAAAATGCAGCTGTAGCTTTTTAGAACAGACAAAAACAAAACTGAGAAGGTTAGAGATAAAAACTTTAAAATGCACATTTTGGTTTCCTACAGAAAGTGCTAAGCCTTTGAGCTAAAATAGGTTTCAACCTTTCTTTGACAGATTGAAAGAGGTCAGTGGTTGTGCCAAGAACTAAATCAAAGGCGTTTTAAAGAAAGTGGAAAACATAAAGCTAACATCTTAATTTGTCCACAGTGACAACTCTCAGTCAGTATGCTGATAATGCAGTGCATTCCTGTGTCCTGGCTTCCATTTCACTCAGAAGTCAGATTTCATATTTGGTTTAAGTTTTCAGACTTAAAATTAGAGTTAAAATGTTTTGTACAGAGCAGCCGACTATTCACACATCAGCATCAGAGGTTATTTGTATCCTGTGTTTCAAACTAAAAATAAATTTACTCTGGCTGTGTTTTTAACGTTTCGACTTAAAGTAATCATGAAAAGAAAATCTGATTTCATCATGTTCAATAAATTGAGGTAATGTGCTCCTAATTGTAAACACTGACATTTTTAGATGGATAGCAATATTCCACTCATTAGAGTCTGACTAAAAATAAGTCACAGCCATGTAGACATCATTTTCTAGTCACMTCAGAACCTTTTTAAAAGTAAGCCATA